CCTCAATTATCGTCCTGGACTCTGCACAGATGGCTGGGGTCCCTAATGGGCTATAGACTGGCATTAAGCTTCAGTTGCCAGCTACAAATTCAGTGCACCCAAGCCATTAGTAACATGCAGTGAGAAATCAGATACTTCATTTATTTGAATAGTTACGACATGTGCAAATGGCCCTAATTTAGAGAACTGGGAGCATTGTGTTAGCATTTGTGATTCCCCCTGCAGTATAACTTTATGGCATGCTAAGTGTGATGCTGTCTCAGGGGAAATAAGAACCCCATTGTTCCCTAGGAATTCTAGAAGTTGTTTGGATGAGTCCGTAGAGATTATGACAGTGCTAAACTTGCAAGGTGCTCTGATCTATCGATCAGTTTCTTGTTCTACTGCAACAATACGAGTTCCCTGCCACCCCCAGCCTGCAACTGAATGTACTTGGTGGGGGCTGAGAAGCAGAAGGCATTAGAAACCAGCCATCGTAATCTCTCGGATTAGTTATTGTATCATGTTATTAGCTCATGAGGAAATCCTTGTAAATTGATGCCACTTTAGTTTGATTGCACCTTCATTTCAGTGTCTCTGAGAAGACTCATTAGGGTTACAATAGAGAAGTTTTGAATAATAACCCACTTGCTGATACTGTACTCTAGAGATGCCATTATTAGATGTTTCGTGGATCCCCACCCCACCCCTAGATGCCCGTCATCACCCAGAATGGCATCTGCGCTGAACGGCTGTTATGCATAAATGCAGTAAACATGCCCAATTATTATGTGATTAGAATAATCATTTTCTCTTCAGCTATCTGAACTGTCAGGTGCCAGCGAGCATGGGAAATGGGGCTTCTAAAATTAGCTTACCATTCTCTGGAGTGCTGTAGGAGTTTAGCGCTTCAGCTTTTTTTCTAATTGGGCCATGCGGTTAACTTGTGTCCAAAAATGCACCCTGTTATTCCTCTCCACAGACTGATTTTCCTTGTTATTTATCCCTCCTCCATATGGTTGTGCAAATGTACCAAAGTAAAGAGGTTTTGTATTCTTTTTCACTTAAAATTTGCCTGCCATTATCTCTGTCATGCTTGTCTGATCCCATTCTTATGAGGCATACTGATGTATCTTCATACAGGAATTGGTGTGAGTTTTTCTGCTGCAAGGAGCAGTCTAATCTCCTTGCTGCTGAATTGGCACACATACAGTCTCTGGCTCCTCCCAATGTTTATCTATTCATATTTGTTGGAGACTCTTTAAAATAATTCTCTTAACATGAAAAAAACCTGCTCTGAGAAGGGCCCAACTGCTCTGAGGACTGGCCCAAGGGTCAGCTGATCCGCATTATGCCCAGGCATACTTTAAGGAGGCCTCTTTGTGTGTGTGTGTGTGTGTACAAAAGCTCTGTACAAATCCATCTTTTGCTGTGAACAAGAAGTACAGGTTTGTACTGAGCTTATCTGGAGGATACAATATTATGCATGCCCACAGTAGGCATTGCTAAAAATTATGTACATTTGTATGCATCCTTAGAGTAAAGAAGATTATTCAGAATGTTAACTGCAAGGATATTCCCTGTCCCATATATCTTCCTAGACAAGAGATTATGCAGCCGACTTCCTTGGCATCAGCACGTTACTGGAATCCCCTAAGCATTTTGACAGATGCTGCAGTTTGACCTTCAGTCCATAATATGCACAGCGGAATTGTTGGAGCTGTTCTGATCTCTAGGTGTGTAGGGGTGTGTGTGTGTGTATAAAGTGCCATCAAGTCACAGCTGGCTTAGGGCGGCCCCATAGGGTTTTCAAGGCAATGATTAAGCAGAGGTGGTTTGCCATTGCCTTCCTCTGCAAAGTCTTCCTTGGTGGTCTCCCACCCAAATATTACGGACCCTGATTAGCTTCTGAGATCTGATGAGATCAGGCTATGCTATACCACTCCACATCCCAACTTCTAGATGACCATACCTTAATCGTCCTCTTTGTGAAGTGATTACAGAGCTTGACTGCTGAAGATGATTGATTTGGGCCTCTGCCTGCCTGAAATTGAATTCATTGCACTGTTGAACCCATCATATCCAAAGCTGAGGTAGTTTGCATTTGTGAACTAGAATCCGCTTTGGGAGTCACCTGCCCTCACTAACCCTTCCTTCTTGTGCATTGCAGTTCTGTACAAGCACATAACCAATGCCAGCAAAATGCCATTTTATTAACTCAGCACAGTGTCAAAACAATAACACACTGAACAGTATCAAAAACTAAAATATATCCAACCCCCACAAAACCTGATAAGCAAACTGTCGGACAACAAAACGAAGGAGCAGGTTTGTAGTTTGGGGGTGCTCCTGGATCCTGGCCTACTTTTGGAGGTTCAGATCTCCTCCACCTATGGCCCTTCTTCAGAAAGCATGATCTGGCCGCAGTGATCTATGCTCTGATCACATCCAGGATAGATTACTGTAATAAATTTTTTTATTTATTTATTATGAGATATATACCCCGCCCTCCCAGCTGAAGCCGGCTCAGGGTGGCTTACAAAAGAATATGCTGGGCATGAGTCCGTCTTTGAAAACTGTTTGGAAAATTCGGTTGGTCCGGAATGTAACAGTCAGGTTATTGTCAGGATTATAAATGATGAGTAACAACAATGGAAATACAGTGATATATAAATTGTAGCCAAAAAAACATCTTAAAGACTGTTACACTATATATAGATATATATTTTACTCTGGAGTTCTGGGGGGAGAGTATTCCATATATGGGGCACCACCACCGAAAAAGCCTTGTCTCTAGCCATCCACTGTCTTACCTTCATGGAGGGTGGTACATAGAGCAGCGTTTGGGATGAAGATCTCAGCTGAATGGCGAGACAGTGTGGGAGGAGATAGCCCTTAAGGTACCCTGGCCTTAAGCCATGTAGGTTTTTAAAAGCAAGAACCAGACTTTTGAATTGTGCTCAGAAACAGTCAAGAAGCTGGGGTTGATGTTCCAATGCAGAGCTAATATGTTCTCTTTATCCAAACCTTGACGACAACCCTGGCAATGATATTTTGTACTAATTGAAGCACCCAAACTGTCTTAAAAGGCAACCCCATGTATAGAGCATTACAGTAATCTAACATGGATTTAGTGGGCATGGATTACCTCACTTCCCTAGGAGTGGCTGAAGCTGCTAAAAGGCACCACATTCCACTAAGGCAACCAGAGCTTTCAGCTGTAGGTTGTTCACGGAGCCGTTCAAAGCTCTGAGCTTGCTTTCATGGGGAATGCAGTTCCATCCAAAACAGGCTGCCTACTTATTTCCCAGTAAAGAATTATTGACCAAGTGCACCTCAGGCTTGTCTAGGCTGAACTTTACTGGCTTTCATCCATTTCATTATGTTCTCTAAGTGCTTGTTCAGAACTTTGGCAGACCCACCTGACTCAGATGTTAAGGAGAAGTAGAACTGGGAGTCATCCACATAGATGGTCCCTTCAGATCCCCAGACAACCTCTCCCAGTGGTTTTATCTAGACGTGAAATAAAGCGAGAGATGGAATAGAAACCCTGTAGTGTAAATGCCATGCAGTTAAGCAGCAGTTCCTGAGTAACACCTTTTGGAGATGACTGGAGTATGAATTGAACCATGGGAGTGTGGTACCTCGAACTTCAAACTCTGCCAGTCTAATGAAAAGGAAACAATGATCAATAGTATCACAAGCTATCAAAAGGTCCAAAAGGATCAACAGGGTTGCATTCCCCCTGCCATTCTCAAGGCAGAGATTGTCAGTAGAGGCAACCAAGACCGTTTCAGTTCCAAAAGTAGAATTCAGTCTCAGAATTTTGTATTCAGTCCCAGAGTGCCACAAATTATTCTGCTAATACAGCTGATGCAGTGATAACCTGTATAATTTCATTTTTCTTATACCTTCCTTCCACTTTTCACCTGTGCAAATATTTACCATTAACCATTAAAAGGGCATCTCTTGAAACCCTAACGTGCGCTTGTGTCAAGTGTTGATTGCTGCTGTGTTTAAAAATGCATGAGTTAGGAAAGATGCTGCTACATTGTGCTGTGCTGAAAGTTGCAGACATATTTTCTGCTTCCGTTGTGGACTGTTGTTTTAGCTTGACAACGCCTGTGTGGGAAGAGCAAATCCCCCAGGCTCTGTTTTGTCATGCACATAGACATTCCATTCCTCTGGCCTTCCACTCTTCTCTTGAGAATTCTCTCTCTCTCTCTCTCTCTCTTGCATTGCACCCGAAAGTACATATCTGAATATGTATTTTACTTTGCTATTCAGTATGACATTTCATATGTGTTTGGCTGAGTGAACACTGCAGATATACACTGTTCCTTGTGTATGTATGCAGGCTTGTTTGGGATGAGGGAGATAAGAGGCATGAAATGCTGGCCTCTGAGGTCAGCTGTTTCTCCTCTGGCTGCATAGACTTCTGTGCATTCTGGCATCGCATTGAGAAATAGCAAACTCAGTGCAAGAGAGCCAATGTTGTGCACTGGTTAGTGTGCTAGTTTAGGATGTGGGAGACCTAAGTTTTAATTCCCACTCTGCCATGGAGGCTCACTGGATGAGAAGTCACAAACTCTCAGCCTAACTTCACCTCACTGGGTTGTTGTGAGGACAAAATGGAGGAGGGAATAATAATGTTGTGAGCTATGCTGGATCCCCATTGGAGAGAAAAGCGTGGCATAAGTATCTAGACAGATAGGTACATGAATAGGTTAATAAATGTGTTTTAAATAATAATTTATTAGGTGGTTCACAGATGTGCCAGTGAGTGAACAGATCATATTGAGAGGAGAAGTTCAGTCATAGTGAATTCTGTAAGAATCTCTGTTCCCATTCTACTCCCAGTATTCCTGTCAGAAGGGAAAGGGAACCTGCCCATCCTCTAGCAGAGTAGATGACAGGTGAAAAAGTGCTGAGCAGTTTCCTGTCACCAGATTCAGATGTTCTGCCCAGAGCCTTTGATTTGATTGGGTTCCCTGACATACTTGCTGTTTTGGTCCTTGCAGCTGGAATCCAAGGGTGGGAAGGGCCTGACGGAGCGAGCGCTCTCTGACTGGAAAGCAGCTCTGAAGAGGGAGCGGGAAGAACACCAGCACCTCTTGGCTGAATCCTACAGTGCTGTCATGGACCTGACCAAACAGCTGCAAATCAACGAGAAGAACTGGGACCAGGAGAAGCTGGAGCTCTTGGGCCACTTCAAGGTTGAGCAGCAGGCGGCAGAGCAGCAAGTGCGGGAGCTGCAGAACAAGCTGAACCAGGTAGGGATTAAACAGGTGTGCCTAAATAATCACTGTTCCTTTAAGTGCAGCTCTCTGTACTTGGGCAAGTGTGAATATATCCTATATATGTGCACATCTTTGTTCCAGAACTGATGTCTGTTTCTTACTATGAATGTACATATATAGGGGAAGCTGAGTTCCTAATATGTGTCACCATGTCTGACATGAATGTTAGTGTGTGCATACATGTGAGGGTATGAGTAAGGTATGCACATACTTAGACCTCACTGCTTCTCCAAGGCAAACAAGGTAAACTACAGTAGACCTCACTTGCATAGTAAATCGCTCCAGATGAATCCTATGAAACAAGACATGCATGCGTACAATAGAGGAAAGTGACCCCCAGCTTTAGACAGGTCACTGGCTCATATGGCCTGGCGGAAATTTCTTTTTGGTGTCAAATATGGTGGTTAGTCAGACCTTGAATACCATGGCTGAGTCTTTCCAGGGGAAATCATAATGAGCTGTGGATCCTTGCTATACAGTGATCTTGTCTATAATAATGATAGTTCATTATTCCCTGATTAAAGAGTCTCTGCTGCGAACATCATAGTGGTATGGTGGGACCCTCCTTGAAGGACACTCCTTTGTAGCAAAAACATTTCCAATGAGTTTTCTCAGTGTTGTCAGTGGCCACAGTCAAATAGATCTGCCTCCCTCCTAGTGACCTACTGAACTTTTATTTTTACCAGCAGTTGATGCTTCACAGATGCAACCTCAGCCTGAACCCTGTGTCAGCTTGGATACCAGGCTAGAAATTTGCCTCTAAGCTCCAGTTTTTATATTAAGAGATTGATTTCCTTTTAGAATAGTAAGCAAGCCAATGATATGTGGGGTCTTGCAGGGGACACTTGGTACTCTCCTGATATTGTCATGCTAGTGGGAAGTCCCTGCACGCAGTTAGGATTTGCGATGTGCCCAATGGAAACTGAAACAAATAAAATTACCATCCAAAGTAATGACATGCCAAGGACAGTAGGCTTTTTATGTACAGGCCAAGCTTGCAAATTGCTTTGTGTGCATCCTCTTCCAGCTGCAGAAGGGAGCCGACCGATGGGCTTTGAAAAATTCAGAGATGGAAAAGCATGGCAGTAGCTGGAAAGAGGTAAGAGGAATGGCTTTATTCTCTGCTGCAAGATTCAGGAGAGGATAAACTTGGCTTTTGCAGCTGGGCCTGTGAAGTAGCTGTATAGTTCTGCTGGAGACAAATCCCAGAGGTTGCCGTCACCCTTCAGGCTGTGCTTGGGAGCACCCAGGGGCATCTGAAAAAGCCTTTCTGGGACACAGAATGCTGAATAAACAGATGTGTTTTCATGACAGGGGCTGGCTGTAATAGCTGTGTTATAGACAAAAATCCAGAAAAAAACTGTATCCATTGAATTTCTGTGTGTTATATAAGTGTTTAAGACTGTCAGGAAGGCATGTAAAGAAATCAAAAAAGTTAGCCAGTAGAGCAATAATTACCACATTCTGATGTCAGCAGAAACTCCAAGTTAAACATCAGTAAGGTGTCTTTACCATGACCACCATGTATTCAAATTAAAAGCCTACCAAAAATGAATAGTTATTACCTACCTTCTGAAAATCAAAGAGGGTGAGCCAAACACACTGCCCAGGAAAGGGAGTTACAAAGTCTTGGTGCCATCACAACAATGGAAATACAGTGATATTGAGTCTCTGATAGTGATGCAACGCAGAGCAAGGTCTCTCTAAGTAGGCTGCTTTTAGAGAACAAACCTGGTGTTTTGAATTGGACCCTGAAACGAATTGGAAACTAGTGAAAACTGAACCAAAGTTATCCCTTTCAGAAAGTGGGTATCTGCATTATGGCCCAGTCACAGTTTCCAAGAACTTTCCCAATACAACCCTATGTACAGCAAATTACAGTAGTCCATTCTGGAAGTTACCAAAATACCCGTAACAACTGCCAGGTCTCAACTGAGACCTCTTAAGTGTACAGAAATGGAACAAAGCACAGGTGATGATAAAACTCTCTCAACGCTCTTTCAGACTCTCAATGAGAAGATCACTGACAAAGAAACCATTTCTGAAACAGACATCAAAGAAAGTAATCTAAAAAGGTGAGAGGCATGCAGTGCTTCTTGCAAAGCACCAGGGGTCGGCTCATTTCTCTCATTTCTTCACTGTCTAGAAAATAGGTAGCATGTTCCTCTCCCCACACCCCCACCTGATGATTAGGAAGAGAAGCACATCCATCCATAGGAAGCAGCAACCCTGGTTTCCTTTGAGTGCACTAGAAGTTGCAGTTGGCCTTATTGGACACTGTGTCAGGCTCAGCTTAGCTCTGCAGCTGGCTGGATAACACAAAATGACGGGTCTTTCCCATGTGAGCGAAATTACGTGGGCTCTGTCTTCTGTGAGTGTAAATGGCCACTGTGAGACTCTGCTCCTGTCTCCCCCTAGTGTCTTCCTAGTGTCTCTTAGACAAATGATGCTGGGGAGACCAGTGCTTTTAATCCGATCCCTCAGTGAAAAAGCAAAGCATGTTATCTCAATAATCTTTATTGTCTTTGTTTAATTTCCCCATTGATTTCCACTGTGTTCTCTGGAGTTGTTTATTTGGGAGACTTTAAAGAGTAGGGAGTTATCCCAGCTGAGCCCTAGCAAAAGTCTATCTCATATCTGTTGTGTCTTGGAAGCTGCTCATTGCAGAGGTTTCAGGACACGGTCTAGGCGAGGCTCCTCTCATCGGGAGTTTCAAAGCAGTTCCACAGCAAGAGAGCTAGAGGTGATGTGTTGCTATCAGAGTTGATGGAATCCAGGATGGAGAGTGGGAAATGTTATACCATATGCAGAAGATTAGTCTCTTGCACACCATGTTAGCTAATTCAGGATAATTACTATCCCCTGGTTCCCAAAACAAATTCACACTATATGTGATTAGAGTAAGTATGGGGGGGGGGGTGCATTGTGAGCATGCACAGCCTTATCCACAGTCTGCTGGAGTCTCGCAGCTTTTCCATGGACAAAGGAGATAGGAGAGCCCCCTTTTGGCTACTAAAAAGTCTGTGCCAGGGATCATGGGACCTACTTGTTGGAATGAGGGCTGCAGTGAAGAGGGAAATTGGGTGAGGTGGAGCAGAAGAGGTGACTGGATCCAGTCCACAGTCCTCAGTCACAGAGCAATGGCAAGTGTTCTTTTGCACAGTTCCAAACATTACTTTTCCTACTCATATATTTGGCCATTATGGAATAAAACAAATAGCAGAAGATAATAATTTCTGATTTACAATAATATTTGTAATATCTGAATATTTAAATGCAAGTGTAGTAGCGGATCTTCCAGTTCCATGCCTTCCAGCTCCATCCTATGATTAGCCTGGCCATTAAGGAAGGCATCTCTTCCACTATCTTCTGCCACCTTCCCCGTGCGTTTAAGACAGAGTCAAAAAAATAATGGCAAAATTGGCCCTTATTCGTGGGAGACATGGAGGTGGGCAAGTAGGTATATAGTTTAGCCATGGAAAACTGCTTCTGCTTAGGCCATGGAAAACTGCTTTTGAGTCAGGAGCTAGAAATGATCCACTTTTCAAAATTGTCACTAATGTATGCTGTACCTATTCCCTTCTTGTTCCGACCAGGACAAAGTCGGTTTCCTCAATGTCTGAATTTGAAAGCTTGCTTGACTGTTCACCTTACCTTCCTGGCAAGACCAGCCCAGTGATCACAGATAACGCCGACACCAAAAAGGGCTCTCCAGCTACTCAGATGTTGCCTGATACATTAAGGGACACATTAGGGGTCACCCCCAATAACTGTGCTCATAATGAGCAACCCAAATCTGAGAACCGGGCCACAGAGGACCTCTCCATCTCATTGTGCGGCTGCACCAAGACAAGCAGCTTGTCTGTGCAAGATCAGTCCCAGAAGCAAATGCAGAGGAGCCACACAGCCCCAGACAAGACTGGGATCCGCATATACTACAGCCCTCCAGTGGCACGGAGGTTGGAAGCGCCTCTAGTGCAGAACAGGGAGGGGAAGATTATGGTTGAGCCTGGCTTCTTGTTCACCATGGCCAAGCCCAAGGAGGAGTCAGACAACTCAGAAAACATGTACAGCAGGTGGCTGTGCAACTTCTCCAAGCAGCACCGCGAGCTGCTTGATGGAAGTACCGTTAGCGAGAAAGCTGTGGCTTCCGTCCCAAGGTTCCCACCCTCCCTGCATGACCTGGAGATCTCTGGCAACATGAGTGATGATATGAAGGAGATCACCAACTGTGTCCGGCAAGCTATCCGCTCCAGCTCCCTTGAGAGAAAGGTGAAGAGCGCTTCCAGCCAGACGGTGGGATTGACCAGCGTCAGTACTCAGACCATCCAGACTGCCAGCGTTGGCCTCCAGACAGACATGCCCAGAGGCAGCATCCACAGCAGCAAAAGCTGGTCCCCACGGAGCTCCTCCCTCATGTCTGTGCGCAGCAAGCAGATTTCCTCATCTCTGGACAAAGTCCACTCCAGGATCGAACGGCCCTGTTGCTCACCAAAGTATGGCTCCCCGAAACTCCAGAGAAGATCGTCCTCTAAGCTGGACAATTCTAAGGATCGGAGCCTGTGGAACCTCCATCAGAGTAAGCAAAATGGGTCCGCTTGGGCTCGATCCACGACCACCAGAGACAGTCCAGTCCTCAGCAATATTAACGATGGCCTGTCTAGCTTGTTCAATGTTGTGGAGCATTCTGGGAGTACCGAATCCATCTGGAAGCCAGGGTGCCAGGAAAGCAAAGCCAAGCCAGAAGCACCCAAGTATGGGATAGTGCAGGAGTTTTTCCGGAATGTATGTGGCAGAACTCAGAGCCCCACTTTAGCTCCTGAGAAGAAGGACCCCGTAGGAGTAGAAAGCAGCAGCAAGAAGGCCGACCATCCATCTGTAGCTGTGCCCCACCAGTCTGAAAGCACCTCCAAGACCCTTGACAAAAAACCTTTGAAGCAGAGCTGCAATGAGGAACCAAAGCTACCCACCCCGTGCCAAGGAGGCAAGGACAAAGCCTTAAGGGAGCCGGACATCATCTCTGCTACTATTGCCAATGAGGTAAAATTTTTCTGTCCCAAGAAATAACGTAACAGCAGAGAAACTGCCCTGGTCTGACCTGCCTTGAAAGTTCTTCTGTTGGCTAAAATGTAGCACAGGATGTCTTCCATCTTCTGAAAACTTGAGGGGGGACACAGAGCTAAGAACATAGGGAGAGCCCTGTTGGATCAGACCAGGGGTCCATCTATTCCGGCATCCTGTCTCACACAGTGGCCAACTGTTTCCTCTGGACAGCCAACAACAGGGCATAGAGGCCGAGGCCTTCCCCTGATGTTGCCTCCTGGCTCTGGGATTCAGAGGCTTAGTGCCTCTGAATGTGGAGGTCCCCCTCTGTCACCATGGCTAGTAGTAGGGGCATGCAAAAAATGTCAACAGTATTTTTTGGTTCGGGTCTGTTAGACCTGAAAAAATTTCGGTATTTCCGAAAAATCCCAGATTCCAATACCAGTGTTGTATTTGGATCCGAGATTGTTTGGAAATCCTGAATGTTCTTGGGTCCAGTAGACTCGAACTGGAAAATATTGGTTAAAGAAAAAACAAGCCAGCCCAACCTTGCGGCTGGTTTAGCTTCTCCTGCAGCATAGTATAAATGGGGTATAAATGAAATAGATAAAAATAAAGCAGACTGGATATTAGACCACACCTTAATGCACCTGTACAAACAAGGGTGGTGGTGGGTGGGGAGTGCTGACAAGTTACAGTTTACTTATGACAACCTGGTAGGATTTTCAAGGCAAGAGACAAACAGCAACCGTGCAAGTAGTTGTGTTATTAATTTTTTTTGGCATTTATTCCATGCATTTCCATGGTTTAAAGTGACATTATCAACGTAACATCCTTGTGAGGTAGGCCTCCATGGTTATCATGTTGCCTAGGGGAGGGTGAGGCTTGAAAGCTTGTCCTAATGGTGCCTTGCGATAGAGGTGGGTTTCGAACAAGGATCTCTCTCGTCCCCACACAACACCAGATCTCAGTGAGTGTCACTCCTTTTATTGGCCATTCTTTTTCACTCATCTACTTTCTCCTTCTCTTTGCAGGACATTGCTTGTGACTGCAGCTCCCAGTCGCTGACCTCCTGTTTTGCTCGGCCCTCACGCTCCACTGTCCGCCACTCCCCTTCCAAGTGCAAGTTGCACCCCACTGAGGGCAGCCGGGCGGAGGAGAGGGTGGGGCCGCCGAGTGAGTGAAAGGGGGCTGCAATGGCTGCTGTGCTGATGGAGGAGCGGCTCCTCCCTGAACCTGCCGGTCCCTTTGGCAACGCGAGGACTGGCTGCCTCTGAGAAAGCCAGACACAGCAGAGATCCTGAGGGGCTCCACTCTCAGACACTCAGAGTAGTCACGCGCATCTCCTGTCTCTCCTTAGCAGGGGTGCTTGCGAACACAGAAGCCGTGCTGCAGAGCCAGGGGATGGAGCGGGAGCCTTGGTGGGGTGGGGTGGTTTCTTATCCCTGGAAAACCCTTCAGCCACACTCCATGAGAGAGGAGCATTGCTGGAGTGTAATGAAGCCGTTTGTGCTGTTTCCATGGCACATGGTGTGTGTATGTGGTGTCGAGTGTGGCAGGTTTTCCCCCATGGTCACCAGTTTGAGGGACGGATCCCCTTTCCCACGCAGAGGGCGTCACGGTGAGAGGGGACAGGGAATTCGGGGAAGCATCAAAGAAGCCACCTTGGTCTAAAGGAAGAGGAAACCACAGTCCTCCAGAAACAGTGCAGAGATGGTTTTGAGGGCCATTATCTGCTAGAACAGCTGTATGATGAAGAATCCCCCCCCCCAAAAAAAAGAATGAGGTTCTTGTGTTATATAGAGGGAAGTGTGGGATGGGGAGGATTTATTTTGATCAAATCTTTGCTAAGAAAAAAAATGCCACAATAAGGTTACTGCTCTTGGGTGTTGGATTGTGTACAAGTAGGCTGGAAATGGGCTGGTTCTTCTCTTATGGCCATGTGTGCATGGATAGTTTTCCTCAAGTATGCTGGGCCAGTAGTGTCTGTATGGTGCCAGCCACTCAGTCTGCACTGCAGTTGGGTATTGGCATCGTATGGGCCTGCAGGGTTGATATCAGCACCAATGTCTGTTCTTGATAAAACGAGGATGCAGCATTGCACTATCTGCCGGTGATGGCTTGTGTTGCCTTCCTGTCCCTGTACATCATAACTCCCCGTGGTTAGTGAAATGCGTTAGCAGAGCCAGTCTTTCCTCCTTAGGCAAATTATTTCTGTAGATCAGAACAATCTCTCCTTTGTACGATCAGCCTTTGTTTCTGTGCTTGGCTGGTCTGGGTGTGGTTGAGTCCAGAGAGGTCATGAAAAGGGAAATGCAAAAATATCTCCATGTCTCCAAAACTGATCTCATCTCTACCTGTGCCTGCCCTGCACCAAGGGAAGATGTCGCCATTCCCAGAGAAACTCAGGTGCCTATTATTTTTTTTAATGGAAGTTTCAAAGCTTTGTGATAAGCTGGCCTCTAAAAATAGTTTACTTTAAGGGAGAAATGGCAAGGACATATCCAACACAGTGAAAACTCGCATGGCAGGGAGAAGAGAATAGGTAGAGGAGGTACCACATTTCCAGAGATGAAGAGTTGCCAAACATTCCAAATCCCTGGGAACTTCACATCTCAAAGCAGGGGTTCTTCTGTGTCACCTTCTCATTTTGTTATAAACAGCACTCAACTTACAGGCTGTTTAATGTGAGCTAACCTTGGCCAGGACAAAGAAATGAAGAGCTGTGTCTCCTTGATCAGTGCTCCTTCAACCCCCAGTCCAGCGTTAACTGTTCTTACAGGCAGTTTTCATAGCTGCAACAGCCCCTCTCTCTACTGACTTGACGGTTCCTCCCTGGTTTGCTGAGGGATGATGGGTGGGTTTGCTGACCCCACAAATGAATATGTTCTGTAGGGTTAGTTTATGGTTCACCTCCTTGAGTGCTGTGCTTGTATGAGATTATGATCTTAAAAGTTGGGTGATGTCACTGCAAATATTGTATATAAAAATCTACAGGGGTCATCTCATGACTCAGATGTCATAGGCTACCAGTTGTGTTGGCATCTATCCAACTGTGCAGTTCCTCTAGTGGAACGGCATTTTCTTTTGCAAAAAAGGGGACTGTGGTTTCCACTATTCCCCTTCCACTGCAGACCCTCACTTTGCCCCTGTGCCATTCCTGAGAGTCTGCTGATAACCAGAAACAAAATTTTAGGTGGAGCTTAGTGGGCTGCATTGGGCATAGGACATGAGAAAGTCCCACTCCATGAAGTTTCCAGCTGGTTGGATACATGCTTGGTACGAGCTAGGAACTAGTGCACAGACATAATCTTACCCCAGACATTCATTCTCATGAGTCATGAAAGGCAAATATCAAGTTCTGAAATGACATAAATAGACCATGTCAGATAATGGGTCCCATCAGATCTCGGAAGCTTAGCAGGTTTGGTATTTGGAAGGAAGATCTCCAAGGAGGATACTGCAGAGGCAGGCAATGGCAAACCACCTCTGCTCCTCTCTCGCCTTGAAAGCCCGTTGCTGGGGTCACCATAAGTCAGCTGCAACTTGATGGCATTTTACACACACATTCCCTGCCTTTAGGGTTGGGAACTAACTCCAAGCTATATTGGCAACCCTTAGCTTTTTTATTTCACATCAGTCAAAAATAAACTGAGCTTTAAACAATTATTGGTGCTCTAACTGTAGTGATGAAACCAAATAGGAAAGAGCAGAGTTACATGTATGATACCATCCCATGATTCTTTTTCTACCCTGGGGGCTTTCTTTTATCAGGTAAAGAAATGGTGGGTGGCTTTTGGTGTAGTGGTTAAGTGCGTGGACTCTAATCTGGGAGAACCGGGTTTGATTCCCCACTCCTCCATTTGCACCTGCTGATGTGACCTTGGGTCAGTCACAAGCTCTGGCACACCTGTCCTTGAAAAAGAGCAGTTTCTGTCAGAGCTCTCTCAGCCCCACCCACCTCACAGGGTGTCTGTTATGGGGAGGGGAAGGGAAAGGAGTTTGTAAGCCGCTCTGAAACTCCAAGTGAAGGGCGGGGTATCAATCCAATCTCCTCCTCCTCCTCCTCCTCTTCTTCTTCTTCTTCTTCTTGTTAAATGGTGGGTTGGCGTGCCCCCAGCTGCTTTTCTCCCTGACAGATCAAAGATATTGGATCCCTTGCTTTTTCAGGGGGAAAAACAGCTGAGGGAGAAGTGATTGTGAGCAGGAAAAAGGGTCTTTCCTTACCCTGTGAATCCAGCTACCCGCATTTGCTTTGCCTGATCAAAGAAAGCCCTCAAGGAGAATCGCACAACTATGCCGAACCTGTGGGAAGCTATACTAGCAGGTGCCTGCCCTGTCGTGCCCAGAGCATGGTTTCTGTTAAGTATCAAGAACTGTGATATATATATCTGTGAGAGAGAATAGAATGGCTTGGATCCACAGAAGCACCCCCATGAAGTGCAGATTTCTCCTTCCATGCCCACTAACTTGAGATGGGAAGAGGAGAAAGTTGTGCTCCTGTGGGCAGAGATCCTTCTGCAAAAATGCTCTGGTGGCTCCAAACCAGAGTCTGCATGGGCATCCCTCTCCTCCAGTAGGGATATTTCTGCTGCTGGACTCTGGCACTCCACTTGCAAGCAACATCTGAGCATTAGTGCGAGTCTCCCTTGGCTTTTTCCCCTGCATCTTCTGCACTGTCTAGCTCTTGTCATTTCTTTACAAATCTATATTGGCTAGGAATGAAAAAAAACCCTGTCTTGGTTCTTATTCCCTGACCAAAGCCATTCATGTTGTTGTGGCTGAGGGGATGGATGGTTCCTCTGGGTCTCCCGTGGAGACATCTGTGTGTGCTCTAGCGGTTGCCCTTTGGATGATTCGTGGTTTTCTCATTGACTGACAAGGTGCTTGCTCTTACTGCAGCTTTCCTTCTTCTGGAGCTGAAGTGCCTGTGCCCATTACAGGCCTGTTTGTGATGAAAGGTCTAGGTTGCCATTACTAACAGGGAGGACTTTTTCATATTTACATAGTCCCACTGAATTCAGTGGCGCTTTGGCCCAAATAAGTGTGCATAGGATTGCAAGCTGAAGAAGACAAAATGGATGTGGAGAGTTTAGATGGATTTGTGCAACACTGCTTTTCTAGCCAGATTGCCTTTGTGATCCAGTTTACAAACACACGCACAAAGTTAGATCAGAAGGTGGTCCAACCCTGCCCATTTTTTTGTCATTTGATGTCTTTAAAAGGCACTATTACCCCCCCCCAAAAAAATCTTCTGTTGATGCATTAATAGAGAAACCAGCAGATTTTTCAATCCATTTGCTACAAAGGAATCACTTTAAATAATGGAAGTTCTCTAATTGTGAGGACTTGGAGAGAGTAAGCCAGATAGAAAATGGGTTGAAATAAAAATGCCTCTCAGGTAATGGGACTGCAGGTGTGCAGCGGCTGCTGGGATCATCCTAGTAGTACAACCTGTGGATAAGTTCCCTGTGTTTAGCAGGCAAGTTAGTACATTTGGAGGGAAAGCAAACAGCCCAATAAATAACTGGCAAAAATCTGAAACTGGGGAGGCTTTAACTCTTATACAAGCAACATTACCTGTTTCTTGGAACAGATGCCAGTAATTGCTTGGACATACGTGTAATAAAGAAGTTTGACAGGGAAGAGAAAGGGAACCAGCCTTCTGTTAGTAGCAGTGGGATTTTCTTAGACTCCATTATGACGGTACTTCAATTGCTGAAGCAGAAATGCCCCATCAGATGTTACTTTAACTGCTGGGGATCAGCGGGAGCTTGTAACTTGTGTTTTTGTTCATTCAAGTGAGCACCATTAAAGTAACATAGGACACCATTTTTCATATGTTCCATAAGTCAAAATGGCAATAATGCACAGAGGATGTGGAAGGATGGGGCTAAAAGTGCGGGAAAGAAGTCAACTGGAAGGTGCAGCAAGCCCCGTGCCCTGAAACAAATGCTCAGGGTCGCTGCCTTCAGGACTGTGAACTCCTGAGTGAACCTGCTAAGCACAGCCTTAGTTAGCATTGCAGCTCAGTGAACTATTGTATCCCAAGCCTGTGCGGCTGAGCTGTTGCCCTTGGCATACTGGTGAGATCCATGCAAATATCACATCTGTGGCCTTGTTCTCAGTCTCCATCCCGCCGTGCAAGTGCTTCAGTTCCTGCTAGCAAGCAAGGGGCTGGCAG